CTGTGTGATGGGGAAGCATGAATGCAGAAGGGCTTGAACAAGCTCCTCTCCCCAGTGGCAAAAACATCATGGAGCTCAGCAAGAAATCCTGCTGTTGCCTGAGTCATGATTGCTCAGACATGATGAGCATGACCTACAGATCTGAACTCTTCCTAGCTAACACGGTCTAGACAGTGTTTCAGCAGCATTTGTTTTTGAAGAGAGGTACACAAGTGTAAAACCACTGAGACTGACTCACAACTTAGAACACCATGTCAAATTTTATCGTATTCAGATCTCAAACAAGAGTAAGACCACTGAGGTTAGTGTCATAAAGGACAGAGGTTTTATTCTGGTAGGAATGTTATTGTAGAGTCACTAACAGCTGGGCTGGAAATGTTACTCAAGGCATCACCTACTTCTGCCAAGATGAACTATACATACCTACATAATTTTTTTTTTTTGTCTAAACCACTTTAAAACTGCCAGTGATGGAGGTCCTATAAATACCCTAGAAAATGAGAGCTCAGTAAAACTAGTTATTAACTAGTTGTTAGAACCTTTTTCCTAATATCTAACATTTCAGCCTATTCAGTGAGCATGAAGAACATGCTGCAGCCTTGAACATACTTTATGTCATGTATCACATGTCTCTCCGCAATCTTGTTCAGATCAAACAAAATTAATTGCTCCACCTATTTTCCAGGTTGTTCCAATTGTTCACATCTTCTCTGGACTTTGTCCAGTTTTGTTTAAGGAAGATCCAGACTGAGTTAAAAATATCCAACAAATAACTTACTGGTGCTAAATGAAGAAAGGACTTCTTCACATATGTTACAGACAGCAACCCGCTTCCCTGCAAAACAATACTGTTGACTCCCACTGGATTTGTGATTCACTGTAAAGGTTCAGATTACCCTAACAGGAATTGTTATTTTATACATTCCACTCCATATTTCTTTCATTGCAGATGTAGAAACACTAGACAAGAATTGTAACAGACCCATACTGAAAATAACTTTCAAATCCCTTCAAAAGAGTTTTACAAACCAGTACATACAAACAACGGATCAATCAAATTGAAAGGAAAAAAAAGAAAAAGAAATCTTTCCTTGGTTTGGTCATTGTATCCCAATATTAATTTTATTTATTTCCAGAAGGAAAATCTGTTTAGATCTTCTCAATGGCTAGATTAACATTTCACTATACTCATCAGACTTTGCAAAGTCTGAAAGGTTGTGTTGTAAAATTTAGGTTAAATCATTCCTTGAAACTGGTGTGGTTTAATTATATTCCTAAAAGGAATGTAGAGAGTAGAAATTGTCTGAGAGATGGTACTCACTTTTAAGATGTTTCAGAATGCTTTTTCATTTCTCACTTTTAATGGTTACTTAATAAAGATCCATTCCTAAAAGTAATTTGGTGTTTGGATAGTTCCATAGTATCCATACAAACTGAGTTACCTCCATAATAAGCCATCAATAAATTTCCTATGTGAGCTGGACCAACAGCATTCTGAAAGATGTGGAAAACCCTTATCCAGTTCACCACAGCTAACACTGTGATTAATTTTCCACCACAAAACCTTCCCCAATATATTTCTACTGCAAATAGGCTGTATATCTAAACACACACCTTTTTAATAATTTTGTTTCCATTGTTGTAATGCTGACCTTATTTTAAACTCCACGTGTTGACACAAGCTCCCATTTATCATTGCTTGCAGGTGGTTTGTTCTGGAGACTAGTTGGCTAATACATGGGACACAGTAACACCCACTCTAACAAACATGACATACATAACCATGTGTCATTTTGTTGAGCTATTACATATTTTTATCTTAGTTTAATAATGATCGATTGTTTCATTTTCTCAACACAGGTAACAGAATGGCACTATGTACATCAGACAGATACAAACTCAGCCTAAACTCGTGGTTGCACTGATGAGTTGCAAGCAATCTGCACATCCCCTTCTCTGCATTCCTATCTATGCAGAGAGAGTACTTCCCCAGTTTACAACAGTAGCAGGATAAGAAGTCAGTACTAGCTAAATGATGATATGTTGAGTATATCTATACATGTAAATAGAGGTGCAAATATGAGATTATTTGTTTATTCATGAGCACGCTTCATGTAGTGCACCACAGAAAGAGTGGATATGATGTCATAACTAAAACCCTTTCAAATCCATATGCAGGAGCAGACTGAATTAAGATTGCATAAAATTATAGTATTTCCTAATTTTCAACTGCTTGATTTTGGCACCTTAACATGCTTTTTTTCATGTAACTTTAGGCACACTTGAAGATAGATATACCACAGGTTAAGCAACTGTCAACAAGTGCAGAAGCACTGCTTTATATTATGCTTAGACCAACACATTTTGTTAAATTTGCACATCCTACATTACTGCAGGATCACAGTGTACAGGAGTCACAGCTGTACTTCCATGTCAGTGTGAAGTCAGGCTTGGGCCATCTATGTTTCTACCCTCCAGGCACTAGGCATACCTAACATTTTGTTCTAGGCATTTTGCTATTTCTCTTTGTCATGCCTCCAGCCCGAGGCTGGATCTCCTTGTTTTTGAGAAAAGTTAAAATACAGGAAGAGTTAAAGGACAAACATCAGGAATAAACACAGGACACTACTGACAGAAGGTGAGAAAAATCAGGATGACACCTAATAACCATTAAGACACCACCCACCTTAAACAACCCATACTACTTATCCCTTCCCCCAACAGAGTGACCCCCAAGTGCCATGAATTAATATCCTACCCACAGTGGTGCCCCAAGTAGTAACAACAGAACAGCATATCAGCACAGCATCCTCAAAGCACATATTTGCCATGGCCAGAACCTGCAAGAATTTTGAGGTAGATAGGGTAAGAGAGGGAATGGAAGTGACTTCCCAAATAGAGTGAAATAAAAAGAATCTCTGCTACCCAAAAAACAGAACAAGAAATAGCTGCTGCCCGTAGCCCCTCCTGGTTCCTAGAATCCTTGCTGGACACACATAGACCAAGGACATTTACCAACAACCATTATGTAATAACTAATAAGCCTGCCAGCAAAGCCAACAAGAACTGAGCAGGAAATACAAAGACTTGTTCAAACACTCAGGAAAACAAGCAAGAGAGACTACTTAAGATGGCACAGGGGCTTTTAAGAATGAGAAACAGGAGGAGGAAGGATAGACGGCTTCACTGTGTTGAAATGAGCCATCAAAAAGATCTATTATAACCAGGGACGTGGTCTTACACTGCAAAAGCAGAGCCTTGCAGTAACTTAACACCCAGGTACTCCCCTAGTTTCTGAGGTGCCAGGTGGCTAGCCTGAGGACAGGCTAAAGCACCAAGAGATGATGTATCAGTTTCTTCTGAATCAAAAACTAAATTAGTTTTTAAAATTAAATCATCCACATTGTTTCATTTGAACCAAACTTTGTTACTCCAGTTGTAGCTCTGAACTGTGATAGGACAGCCTAGAACAGATTTCGTTTAGTGACAGCAATGAATCCTTTCCCCTTGTGTTCTTAGTCCCACCGTTGCTGGATCCGAGTGAAAGAGGGAAGGAGCTTCTGCTTTCAGTGTAAAGGGGACAAAAAGACTGGATAGAATAAATCAAGACAACACAAACAGTGAAGACTGGGATAAGGTGCTGGCAGGAGGGCATTGGCTACAGCAGAACTGTATGAGAGAATGACTGATCCCTCCTTAGTACTAGAAATCTGAGATTAAAACATTGTGGAAAACAGTAGCCAGCACATGAATACCTGACTGAAAGGGAGATTAGATAAAAAACAGATGAGAAGACTACAATTTATTGGACATGGTGATTAGGAGCTGGAGATCAACTACCCATGAAGCAGTTTGTAATGGTAAAGTAAACTGAAAGTGAGACACTGAAAGTGAGACAGGGAGGGATGGGTTATGACTTTCCCCGTGCTAGCTAGGAGGCTGATAAATCTGTAAGCAGTTTTAGCTGGGTGGATGACAAACAGGAATTGTGTTTTGAGTATGCAGTAACTTGTAACAGACTCAAAAAAAAGAAAGGCCCTTGATGTTGACTCAGATACCAAAACTTCCAAGTGCACTTACTTTTCTCTCTGTGTACTCCATTTTCCATTTTTAATAATGGAACTAATACAGATCTCACAGCTTACAGCTGTATTTCATGACTACCATAGAAAGCCCACAAAAAGAAGTTTTCTCTTCAGAACAACATTTTATCACCAACTGAACAACAAGCATTTTGCAGACTGACCGAGGCAGAGGAAGCATTACTGATGTACTGGAGAACTGGTCTAGAGATGTGAAGCAAGAGTTGAACATGTAGTTTTCAGAATTTGCTGAGCTGTGGGCTTGATTTTACAAATCTGAAAACATTTCTTAAATTGGTATTTGTTCGGATAAATGGAAAATACTGCTAGAATTACATTCTGCTCAGTTTTGTTCTTGAAATACCCATTTGAAAAAAAAAAAAATAAAAAAAAATGGGTGGTGTACTCCCGGTTTAAGCGAGGTCGACAAGTGAAAACATCCCTTTCTTATCCAGGGTCATGTTACTGCAGTACCGCAGATGCATTGGGGTTAAGCGTCTGTTTTTCTGCCTGTCATAGAACATAAGGAAGAAACCTGGCACACACAAAGCAAGACGTTTCGCCAGCAGGAGTAACGCCGTCACGCGAAACGCCCCTCGCCCGCCCGCTTGCCCCCGGTCCCAGCCGCATGCCCCGGAGCCAGCCTGCTCCACTGCGAGCACGGTAACAGAACACCCGCAGCCGGGCTCCGGGCCAGGCGGCCACCGGAGGGCCAGCCTGGCGGGGAGGAAGGGGCAAGGGACGCGGCACCTGCACAGCGCCAGCAGCCACTGAGCGGGGATACGGGGCGCAAGACCGGCCG